AACTGTCAGCACGTGCTACCCGGAGAGGAGGGGGTCGCGCCATCAGATTCAGCAACTCCAGATCCAGACAGGGGGACCCCCATGACAGCCAACACCTCCGGCCACCCGGTGGTAGCCGGTACCTCCGGCTGTCAAGCACCCAGCTCCAACTCCGTCGGCTCCCCGCAACTCGCTCCGCCCCCTCTGCACCATCATTGAGGGCCGCAGCACCAACCACCACATGCCCGCGGTTGAAGATTGTCACCACCACCCGACAACGCTAGGCCGGCGCCTCCACCACCTGACAACGCCAGGCCGGCGCCTCCACCACCACGCCGCAACCACTCCTGCCCAAGAGCACGAAGACGGCCTCGACCGTGGCCCAAGCCGATCCTCGTCTCACGCAACCGATGGTCGCCCCGGAAGCCGCCACCGCAGGCCTCCCGAAGCAGCCCCTGGTCCGCACTGCCACAACCTCCACCACGCTGTTGCTCCCTCCGAGGGGAGAGCCAGCCGACCGCAGCCCAGTCCAACCACAGCCCTCGGCCCCAAGGAGCAGCACCGCCGCCGCCACCGGTTCGCACCACCACCTGCGACTCCAGCACAGGTTGAACCACCGTGGCCGCCGCTATATGGCACCGGTCGAACCGGAGTATGATACGTCTCCGTCGTATCTATAATTTTTGATTGTTCCATGCCAATATTCTACAACTTTCATATACTTTTGGCAACTTTTTATACTATTTTTGGGACTAACATATTGATCCAGTGCCCAGTGCCGGTTCCTGTTTGTTGCATGTTTTTTGTTTCACAGAAAACACATATCAAATGGAGTCCAAATGGGATAAAAACTGACGGGGATTTTTTTGGAATATATGTGAATTTTTGGGAAGTGGAATCAACGCGAGACGATGCCCGAGGGGGCCATGAGGTAGGGGGTGCGCCCCTGACCCTCGTGGACACCCCGTAAGGCGGTTAGTGCCCTTCTTTCTCCACAACAAAGCTAATATCCGGATAAAATCGTGTTCAAATTTCAATCCAATCGGAGTTACGGATCTCCGAGAATATAAGAAATGGTGAAAGGCCAGATCTGGGAGCGCAGAAACAGAGAGAGACAGAGAGACAGATCCAATCTCGGAGGGGCTCTCGCCCCTCCCATGCCATGGAGACCAAGGACCAGAGGGAAACCCTTCTCCCATCTAGGGAGAAGGTCAAGGAAGAAGAAGAAGAAGCGGGGCTCTCTCCCCCTCTCTCCCGGTGGCACCAGAACGCCGCCGGGGCCATCATCGCAACAACAATCTACACCAACAACTTCACCGCCGTCATCACCAACTCTTCCCCCCTCTATGCAGTGGTGTAACCCCTCTTTTACCCGATGTAATCTCTACTTAAACATGGTGCTCAACGCTATATATTATTTCCCAATGATGTATGGCTATCCTATGATGTTTGAGTAGATCCGTTTTGTCCTACGGGTTAATTGATGATCGTGATTGGTTTGAGTTGCATGTTTTATTATTGGTGTTGTCCTATGGTGATCTCCGTGTAGTGCAAGCGTGAGGGATCCCCGCTGTAGGGTTTGCAATATGTTCATGATTTGCTTATGGTGGGTGGCATGAGTGACAGAAGCACATACCCGAGTAAGTAGGTTGTTTGCGTATGGGAATAAAAAGGACTTGATACTTTAATGATATGGTTGGGTTTTACCTTAATGATCTTTAGTAGTTGCAGATACTTGCTAGAGTTTCAATCACAAGTGCATATGATCCAAAAAGAGAAAGTGTGTTAGCTTATGCCTCTTCCTCAAATAAAATTGCAATAATGATTACCGGTCTAGTTATCGATTGCCTAGGAACAAATAACTTTCTTGTGTGACAACAACAAGCTCTCTACTAAAACTAACTTAGTTGTGTTTTCATCTAAACAGCCCCTACTTTTTATTTACGCGCTCTTTATTATCTTGCAAACCTATCCAACAACACCTACAAATTACTTCTAGTTTCATACTTGTTCTAGGTAAAGCGAACGTTAAGCGTGCGTAGAGTTGTATCGGTGGTCGATAGAACTTGAGGGAATATTTGTTCTACCTTTAGCTCCTCGTTGGGTTCGACATTCTTACTTATCAAAAGAGGCTACAATTGATCCCCTGTACTTGTGGGTTATCAGAGTACCTCACCGGTGCTCCCCTCACTCTTGGTTGCCATATAGGATACTATGGTTAAAGATTGCCCCCCTTTATGTCTGAATATTCCCTTATGCAGTTGTTGCATATCCATATCACATACTGTTATCCAGAGTGCCTCAGATTTGATATTCGATACCTTCCAGTTTATATTACTCCCTCCGTTCCTAAATATTGTCCTTTTAGATATTTCAAATGGACTACCACATACAAATGTATCTAGACATATTTTAGAGTATAGATTCACTCATTTTGCTCCGTATGTAGTCACTTGTTGAAATCTCTAGAAAGCCAAATATTTAGAAACGAAGGGAGTAGATGATAAAAGTGTGCGCTCCTTAACCCGTGGTGGAAACAATGAAATGACACTTCAGAAAAGGTAAACACCAACTTGAGTAGGCAAATGCAACAACAATTTAAGCAACTCCGCAAAAAAACAATTTAAGCTAGTACTCCCTCTGTAGAATGTAAGAGCGTTTGTTAGGGAGTACACGTTAACCAGCAACTGGCCAATTGGTTGTACTCTGTCTCGCTCCACAAGTAATGCTCGAATGCCCAAGCGTGTGATGTTGCTTGGAGGAGCCCCCAAGCCCAAGCTCAGGCGGTCGTGCACACCCTGTTGCCTGTTTTGAATGAATGCTCAGGCCTCCTTTGGTTCATAGGACACTAAAAACGCAAGAAAGGAAAAAATGCAGGAATCGAAGAGAAATGCATGTGTAAAACAGAGGATTAGAAAACATAGGAATTTTGCAAACTTGGATGTTTGCTTCACATGAAAAGAAAAAACACCGGAATCCTAATAAACTGATTCAAATTAAAGTCAAACCACATGGAAAGGAATAATTAGCATGTTATTATAACATTCGTGCATAGGAATTTGAAAAGCCGGTCCAAGTGGATTGTAAAATTTCTACACTTTTCCTCAGAAACTAAGAGCAAAGGAAAATGTCCTCCATTTTACCTTTCTACATTCCTTTCAACCAAAGGCCTGGATGGTGCTACCAAAGGAAAATTTCGTTTTCGTTTGTGTTTCCTTACTTTTCCTTTGAACCGAAGGAGCCTCGGCATCTGGTAGCCCCGAGTATTTTACCAAAATATTAAGGGATCTTAATGACTGGTGGAGTACCCTGCAATTTTCAGTGACATGACATGAATGAGAAACTTAGGACACGTGAAGAACAGCCAAATGATTTTACAAATTTCTTCATTAGAATCACAATAAAAGGTATTTCACGTAGCCAAATAGTCATGCTAATAGATGAGCTTGGTAACCATTTAATACGTCTGCCTTATATAACAGCAATCAAACAATTGGTGCATAGCCTTAAAAGAATGCTTGAGATAAGGACATAGGTTACAGGTAAGCAAACAGGAGAACAAATAACCTGACAGAAGCCGACACTCAAGAGCATGTCGTAAGTATGTATCAATCAATTAAAGCAAAGCTGGAGCAAGGTGTTTGTAAAGTAAAGTGACCATGTAATCTTTATGAACCAATGGAGAACAACTGAAAACTGATGCTTTCTAGGGAAAGAATAAACCGGAGTAGGGTGTTGTTCAGGCTGGTTGTTAGCAGAAAATGTAGCACCTGAGAGAACCAAGTTGCAGATTTCCTTTGCTCTCTTTTGCAACACATACTTAAAATGGTAAAAAAAAAAGCGTTAGGTACTTATATAACCTGACCAAAGCTCAGTCTCAAAAGGCATTTTCCCAAGTACGTCTGTAAAAATATAGAGGCGCTATCGATCAATTATACCAAAGTCGTTCTGCAGCAGGTTCTTTATAATCGGATTGACCATGCTGTTTTACCAATAAATGTAGAACAACTGAAAGATCGGTTTTTGTACGGCAAGAAATAACCTGACAAGGCTGCTGTTGAGGCTGGTTATTAGTAGAAGATGCTGCGAATTTGATCTAGGTTGAAAGATAAGTAAAAGAACATGGCATCTGGCATGAAGGAAGAGTGAAGGCACAAAAAAGAATCCTAGATAGGGGAAGATGATTCATACCTGGAGATGGGGAATAAAAAGTAGGAGCTCATCTAGAGCCCAGGCAAGCAAGGGCGATTGGTGGATCACCACGAGGAAACACATCCCGAAAAGGCAGAGGAAGGGTTTTGATTCGGTGGTAACCTCGATCTGCTGGAACATATGGAAGCAACGCAATGGGAGGGTCTTTGGGAGAGCTGACCTAAGGAACGTTGGTGGAACTGTAGAACTTATTTGGCAAGAGTTACAACTCTGGGCTAGGGCAGGAGCCACTGGAGTATCTACGTGGTGTGAGTAGTAGTGTAGAGTTTGGATGTGTGGAGGGTGTGGTGGAGGCATTGCTGGCTATCCACCTACCATGTAACCTCTCTTATACATAACTTTCTTCTCTTCTATAAAGCTAAGGTACGCTTTTGACGTACCCTCGAAAAAAAAAGTGGCAAGACGCCCCCACCAAAGCATTCTTTGTTTTTGAGATAACTCACCATTCATGCCAAGTTGTAAAATTGCAGAGCATTAGAATATACATTCTTGCTTCTGATCACGGCTCAAAAAAAAACTCTGTATAAGTTCATTCCATCAGAAAACATCGACTTGAAGTGAAAATCCGTGTTGGAAACAATGAAATGACACTTGAGAAATATAACTAAAGACTGAATCTTGGCAGCTGCAGGCAAACACACATTTCTGCAATGTAAGAAGAGAACCGTATCCTCATGGGAAACTGATGGATATAACATAGTGAATGGTTACACAAAGCGTTCATCGGTGCTTAGCTTATCACAGCTTGACATGGATCACAACGCTGACATATGTCTAAACTTAAAACTTGTGATTGCGGATACATGGATTCACTGTCTCCTCCTAAACTGATTCTTGAGCTCTTCGGCTTCATGAGAAAAGCCGATTGCTCTGAATGCAGCATCCCGTGCTCTGTCGCTACATGCTTGGATCTCGGACCTGTGAGCGAGGTAGTCCTCATCGATCTCGACGTAGCCATTCTTGGCGTACTCACTTCTTACCCAGGCCTGAAATTTGATGAATTCCTCTACAGCCTCGTAGTACCCGCGCGCATTAGCATACCGCTTCACCTTCAGCTTGTCCATCTCCTCTTCCGGAGAAGGAATCAGGTCGGGGTTTTGGAGCTTCAGTGCCTTGAAGAAAGAAGGGGCACGATCGGGATGGATCCGACTGGAAAGGATCGAAGCCACCTCCTCCCGCGGCAGCCGCGTCATTTTTTTGCTTGGACCTGATTTGGCGTAAAAAGCTCTCCTTTTGGCGGCGCGCACCTTCTCCTCCTCTGTCTCTGCCTTCCTTTTCCTTTCGGTGTTGCACGGCTTCAGCTGGCGCTTCTCCTCGCCGGCGGCCGACGCATCCTTGCCGCCATGCTTCCGGTGATGCTCCAACCCTCCTCACCGGCCATTGGTCGCTTGATCTGATCCCGCGGCTCGCCCCCACTCACCACGCCGCGAGATTGGGAGACAGACAGTAGACGAACCCTAGCTCTGGAATTGGGATTGGGGGAGGAGCAACCGGCGTCTTCTAGTCTAGATCTAGATATTTAAAGATATTACAACCGAGCACTATTCCAGCGTTCTCAGGCCATCAACATTTTTGGCCGTTGGATATGGAATTGTGTGCATTTCTGGCCTTTGATTTTTTGGCAGTCCCGTCTGGGCTTTCGATTGCATACCAGAAAGTGTTACACGGACTGGGCTGCTCCTCCCATAACAAATTCGTAGATCTTCTGTTAATTTGGGCCGACTGGGCTTTTTAAGTGTTGTATGTCATCCCTTCTCAGCGTTGCTTTGCACATGGAAAAAAGGGCACGCATCAACACACGCTCAGCCCACAGCCGCAGCTGCAGGCCTCGCAGGGCGAGCGACCAGCGACCTGGCCCTTGCCGGTCGTGCGATGCTACTGGGTGGGAAGAGCGAGAGGACGACGAGGTCCATGTGAAGCGAGCGACAAAATGGACTCGTTGGGCAACGCCCTGGGCACGCTAAATGAGGCAGCGAATCATCTCCTGTCGATTGGAGTCCACTCGCTCGCGATCGAAAAAATGAATTACCGTTGCTACAGGACTTTAATGGCAATTGATAGAATGCGCTAACTGACCGAGCTGATTATTTCAAGTCAGTTACCATGTCGCTCTGTGTTCTTACTCGCTCCACGCGCGTCCATATAGTCTCTGTTGTGTGTCATCCGACTGTTCGTACGCCCACTCCTCTTCCTTGGTTCCTTAATTCCAAGATAGTCTCTGCCTCTCCGACAGCAATGGTTGACGCTCCGGCGCCACTCCATCTTGTGCGTTCTACCAGTCTCCCTTCTTTCTCCATGGAATTTAGGAAATCTTCTGCCCCCAATTCTCTGATTCCCGTTATTCCACCGAGTTCGGCGTGACTTACTGCTACAAGCTTGAGATTATGTACACAAATTGGATGTTCTAAGACAGACAAGGGTTGCAAACTTATCTCTTTCACCCAATAAACCATGTATTCTGAATTGTTGTTATATTTTTCTTCCCAATTTGACGCAGGTGGTGTCAGTGTATGGATTGGTGACTTGTTCTACTCGATTGGCAGAAGGAGTCCTATAGTTTTCGATCTCCAATGGCTAATGCACAGGTTAGAATCTGTATGTGTACTCTTATGCCTCTCCCCTCGTTTCCATCATGACGTTCATGTACTGATGAAAAAAACAATTAGCAGTGAGCAATCTGCTATCAACTCCTCCATTCTTACTATATTTGATTGAGCCAAGGGCGAGATAAAAACTATGTGTTGTTGGACATGATTGATCCAAGGAAAACATGAAAACTATGTGTTGTGGAACAATCAGCTTTCATTCTCTCATGTGCATTTTCTATAGCACATTTTCATATATATAACCATATATGTTTTTGTTTTCAACAATTGTTATTCTCTGGTAGGGGCTTTCAGAACATGAAGACTATCATGAAATAGGATTTAGAGTTTTTGTTGGATCCAGTTTGACACATATATTTCTGGTTACCAAAATTCGTCCAGATTAACAATTAGTTTGCCGATAGGTATAACTCTGCACATTCCTAATGCAAGCACAAAACTGAACACGCACACACAACATGTGTTATGATGCAGGGACGTCTTCTTTTTTCCCTCAACATCAACTATGCAACTGCCAAGTAATCTAAACCAGAACAATTAAATTGGGGTGGATTTTTTCACAGGAAATAGAGTCGCCACCATGACAAGATTCTCCCTGCATTGCAACAAGGTTTGAAAATAGCAGCTGAAGCAATTAGTCCAGTCTGGGTGGAAACTTACTTCTAAATAAATACCCAACAAAAAAGAAAAATCTTGAACCAATTGGGCACAAAAAATGGTTAGAAGCGGTTTAGTTAGGGACATCTTCGTGTACCCTCGTGCATACCCAGTGTCCATGGATATAGAACAATATACTTATTCTTGCATCGAAGCATCAAGTTATGTTTGTTGACGGTAAGATCCTCGCTGGATGTGAAGCTAAGTACTTGCAATACAATAGGTCTTTGTGAGCTGTGAAGATTACTTTGCTACTTACATATGGGCACTACTACTGAAAATCTGTCTTCACCGCTTGGCGAAGACAATCTAAGTCAAGTATGGTTCTCGGCAATGGACAGAGAGTTAATTTTCTTTCACTCAATTTAGGAGATTACATACAGTGGTGGTATATTCTAAACCAATTTTGTATAAACTATCTCAGTATATCCTGCTAACATCGTGAAATTTAAAACAAGCACGATTACCTTTGTGCTATTACATCAGTGCCAATTTTTTGTGGATTTATGTGAAATATACACATACCATATGGAAACTATGTTTAATTTTTCAAAAAGTGCCAGTGGATGATATTATTATTCGTCAGAAAAAGGCAACTAAATTTAAATGGTTTTAATTAAATAAATTAGTCATATTGACAATAGATGGGCGTAGCAACGTGTGTGACACTACTTTCTTGCATACCACTCAACTTCTTCTCTAATTAGATAGCAACTTTTTTAAATAAAGACAAGCATAAGTTACAAGAAAGCAAAATACTTAAGGAAATTGCATGTAAATTTACATAAGTTATTTTATATGCCTAATTACTAAGAGCCAAAACAGGTGGGCGCAGCAACGCGCGCCAACAATGATCTAGTAGAGATTATAAAGCCAGGGCCTTTTTCTTTCCTCGTGGAAATGAGATTTGGAGTCGGATTTGACATTTGAGGCCGACATCACAGAGGAGAGGTTGTTGTCGCCGCCCCAGGTTCCAACACCAATACTCCTAGGGAATCATTTGGCAACGGTGGACCGACCGAAGCTTCGGCCGGCTCGCACGCCACGCTAGCCAGCACTCAGTACATAGTGGCCCCGTGCGATCCGCCTTCTTCTCTATGCGCTCCATCCCTCACCTACTGCCTTCACGGACGCGGATCTTCTCCCTCCCCCTCCTCCCGGACTGTAACTGGCTTACCACGATCTCCATCGCCGGCGGCCAGGCTTCCCTCGCCGGCCGTCATGGTCAGATCCATCCCCTACCTCCAGCCTTCACGCGGGCGCATCCCCTCCCCTCCCCCCTCCCCCCAGGCTGTCATTGGACGACCACGACCTCCATCGCCGGTGGCCAGGCGCTCCCTCGCCGGCCGCCATGGCTGGATGCATCTGCGTATACAAGTGTTGCAACCGTCACTTAGAACAGCTTCAATAGCTGTTGAAAAAAGCTTCAACTATAGACAGAAAAGCTTCAATGGAACCGCACAGCAAGGGAAAGCTGCAACCTTAGTTGGATTTTGTTACTACTGGCGAAGTTTTTTGCTACAACCATCAGGCGGAGCTGCGACCTCGCGACGATGACAACGATGATTTTGCTGCAACCGTAGTAGAACTTGGCTACTACCGCTGAAGTTTTTTGCTACATCCATGTAAGGAGGAGTTGCGACCTCACGAAGACGGCGACGGGATTTGATTTTTTGTTGCACCCGTAGTTTATTTTTGCTACTACCGGTGAATTTTTTTGCTACATCCATTCAAAATGGTGTTGATTGTCTGGCGGCCGCCGTCGACATAATTTCCTGCAACGAGCATCAATGGCAAGGGGCGGCGGCTGAGCTGCAACCGTTTGCCGTCAGAGCTGCAACGCAGGTGGAGTTGTTGCATTGGGATCGGCAACGAGAACGGCCAGCGAGGGCGGGGTGCGGCGAGCGACGAGAAAGACCGGCGAGGGTGGGGATTAACGACGGGGACGACCACCGGAGGGGACAGGAGGCGCGGCACCGCGGTCCCCGAGCGGGACATGCGGATCCAGCCCGAACTGCCCGAGGAAGAAGAAGCTAGGGGCGATCAGTTTTTTTTTTTGCCTGGATTCAACTGCTGCGCGGCCCACATCCAACGGCCTGGACTAAACCGGCCGAAACTTTCGGCCGGTGCGTCGGCGCCTATAAGCGCCCATACTCGTATGTTGTCGAGATAAGGCGGCGTGTTTTCTAATTTCTTTTTGTTCTCGTCTTTTCTTTAAGATTTTTATTACAGTCCGAGTTAGAATTATTTGTAGTGTTATTTTTTTCCCAAAAGGTCAACTTTGTTTCTAAGTTTCTTTCAAATGACAAAAAACTGAGGTTAAAATTAGAAGCGCTGGGACTCCATCCACCAAACCAAACACCGTTTCTTGTTTAGTATGGACTAGCACATATGTCGTGCGTTGTAATACAAGAAAAAATACCATATATTTTTATTATAAAAAGCATTGCTCAAGATGCTCTATCAATTTACATCCCATATTTCAGCATGGCGTCTCACTTGTGTCACAATTTATACTCTTTCTCACCCACGTTGCTAGTGGTTACTGTGTTCATCTGATTGCAATATGTTCCAATGTAGTTGAGCTCGGACATGACACAAGACACTTGCCATTGAAGATCAACATAACAATGCTCTCCCGGTCTAGCACCATCATCCACATGCGGCCCTCGCCAGCATATTCTCCTCATCCGACTCCCTTCACACACACCTTCATGACCAGCAACACAGGCATACTTTCGTATGTAACGTGCCATTACTTTTCTACTTCTTTTGACGCAAAGATATATAGTCTTGATGTGCCTATATATACATGACGCGGCTCATGTGACGTGTCGTTCGCCCACTGACATGTGAACTTGGACCCATACGTCAGTGACCCAACGTCAAGGCGCCGTACGTCAGAGGACCCGTCTCCATATATACGCGCC